TGCACACGCGTGACTTGCACACGCCACGGTGGCCGTTCCCCGCGGGCTGTTGGTGCTGCCCTGGCCAGGGGGAGCCCCACGGGAACTGGGGGCCACTGGCACCGTGGCTTCACCCGGGGCGGCTCTCGCGTGCCCGCAGGCTGCATCCTACTACTGCAACAAGCTGGGGTTCGAGGAGCTGGCGTACCGGGGGCTGGAGACCGGCAGCAGGGAGGTGGTCTCACACGTCATCAGGCAGGACAAGGTAAGGGGGCTGACGCGCCTTGCAGAGGTGCCACCGCCAGGGTGGAGGTCGGGGGGAGACGAGGCGGTGTTGGGCGTGCAGGTGCTGCCGAAACCTGTTTGCACCATTAAACCCAGCACCTGCAGTGCCTCTGCCCCAGCCCGGGGGCACCGCCATGTCTCCATCCCTCACCTGTCCTCCTCTTCCTCACCAGATCGTGTTTGTTCTCTCGTCTGCTCTCAACCCAGGGAATGAGGGTAGGTACCACGGGGGTGTGTGGGGGGAGATGGAGTGGGAAAGGGCTGCAGTGGAGCAAAGCACCTCTGCTCATGCCTGCGGCTGCTCTTGCTCCGGGCAGAGATGGGGGAGCACCTGGTGAAGCATGGTGACGGGGTGAAGGACATCGCCTTCGAAGTGGAGGACTGCGACTTCATCGTGCAGGTAGGCAGCCCCTCTGCTCCCTCCTGCACAGCACCCCGAAACGGCGAGGGGAGGTGGGGAAGGGCCCAGGGCCGTCTCCCCCCAGCCCGGGGGAGCTGCGGCAGGAGGAGGTCTCTCTCCTTCTGCCCAGAAAGCCAAGGAGCGCGGAGCCGTGGTGGTGAAGGAGCCCTGGGTGGAGGAGGACAAATTCGGGAAGGTGAAGTTCGCGGTGATCCAGACGGTAAGCGGCAGGGCAGCTGCGGAGGCTGAGCCCCCGTGCTGGAGTGGGGTCCGCGGGAGTACGCAGGACCCAGGAAGTCCCCGAAAAAACAGGGCCACCATGCAACCGCTTTCCCCCTCTCGCAGTACGGTGACACCACTCACACCCTGATAGAAAAGCTCAACTACAAGGGCCTCTTCCTACCCGGGTACCACCCACCCCTCTTCAAGGACCCCCTGCTGCCAAAGCTGTGAGTAATTTCCAGAGGGTCCCACCTGGCTCTTTGCCACCGTGTGCCGGTGGGATGTCCCACCGAGGAGCTGGACAGGTCCCCGCTGCCTCGCCACGGAGCCCCCTGCGCTGTGGGGTGCCCCCGAGCCTAGCTGAGGGCCACCCCCGGCTTCCCCCTGCAGACCAAGCGCCAAGCTCAACTTCGTTGACCACGTCGTGGGGAACCAGCCCGACCTCCAGATGGTCCCAGTGGCG